TAGTCCCAAATTGATGATCAACTTCAACCTGAAAGTGGGGGTTAAGATCCAAGGTTTTGGTTTGTTTTTTTTTTTTTAATTTTTTTAATGTTTTATTTATTTTCGAGAGACAGAGCACGAGTGGGGGAGGGGCAGAGAGAGAGAGAGGGAGACACAGAATCTGAAGCAGGCTCCAGGTTCCAAGCCGTCAGCACAGAGCCGGATGTGGGGCTCGAACCCATGAACTGCAACCCGTGACCTGAGACGAAGTTAGATGCTTAACCGACTGAGCCACCCAGGTGCCCTAAGATCCAAGTTTTATAAATTTTTTTTTCAACGTTTATTTATTTTTGGGACAGAGAGAGACCGAGCATGAATGGGGGAGGGGCAGAGAGAGAGGGAGACACAGGATCGGAAACAGGCTCCAGGCCCTGAGCCATCAGCCCAGAGCCCGACGCGGGGCTCGAACTCACGGACCGCGAGATCGTGACCTGGCTGAAGTCGGACGCTTAACCGACTGCGCCACCCAGGCGCCCCAGATCCAAGTTTTAAATGCTCTGTAACCTTGGTAAATCCTCTAAGTTTCCAATCCTGGGTACTTGTTGGCCAATTTGTACCTGTTGAAGAAAAGCCATTGGTTCAACAAATATTTCCAGCACCAATTATGTTCCAAGTACTATTCAAGGCACCAGAGCTACAACAATAAACAAAAGAAGCAAAAATCGCTGTTCTCGTGGAGCTTACATTTTGGTAAAATCATCCACTCCAGCATAGAAATTATAATAATAGATGTGTTTTCCATACAAAGTTGACAGAGACTATATATTTTCTACCAATTTTTTTTTTTTTTTAGGACTGACATCTGAATTGAAAATAAACAAAAGAATCTGGATACTGGTTATTAATAATACCCGTATTTTAAAAATTAATAATGTATGTATTTTTAGTTGAGTATAACCATCCTATTGATGAAATAGATCTATTTTTAATTGTTTAAAATATTAAATCTACTTAACACGCTAGCAATATCAAAACACTTTCATAAATTTTCCATTACTCCTAAAGTCTTGGGTCTTGCTGGATGTGGTTTCTGCAGCCAGTGTAATCTTGGCTTTCCCTTCCTGACGAATGTAATCTCTTGAATAACATGTTTTTGTCCTGAGAAGTAGTAATCCCACATGTGTAGCCTTGTAAAGACCTAAGATACCTTTCACTTCATAATTTTGCCGCATTTCTGCAAGGTAGCTGGAATGGATCAGACATTTCCTAGCAACATCTTTCGGATATAAAGAGCTCTGAATTTCACATTCAAAGGATACAGTGCACCGTTTGAAGGGAAAAAAGGGTTTGCATCTATCAAAAGAACTAAAAAGCGGGTAATGTTGCCAGTGAATTCAACAGTAGGGTTCCCAAGGCAGCGGAGTATTGGTGAACCATAAAACATCTGGATTGAGTTGGAACTCTGCCCCTGACTCACTGTGCAACCTGACATGGGTGGCAGGGTCTCTGGTTCCCCACCCCCTCCATTTCAAACCTATGTCTGGCCTCCAAATAATAAGCCTTCCCTCCTGAACAAATTGGTATTTGAGTCAAGTAGATTGGATCTCTGTGAGTAATCCCGTTTGGTTTAAAATAGAACCAGGTGGAACAATTCATCTTAGCAGATAGCATTTTGGTTGATAAATCAACACTGATCTCAGGAATTTAGAGCTGGCTGTCTGCTTTTCAGGACCAAAGGGCACTGAAATGATTTCCTCCCGTGTACAAAATGATTTTAGCAGATGTTTACAAAGTCACATGACCTACCTCCCCAAGGTCTGTTCTGGGTGATCAGAATTGGAATCTTGCCTAATCCAAAAGTATAATATTCGGAAATTCACAGGGCTATAATCTAATCCTGTAAATAAGACAAAGATGAGACTGGGCTGGTGGATTGTTTTTAGATTATTTCAAGATCACATCTCCCTAGTTTTGCAACTTATTTCTTCAGCCATGAGAACAAATCATTGCACAATATTTTCAGAACTTCAGGAAGGTTGAAATCAGGCAATAAGACTAAAACCAACTGAATTTGCTCTGCCTCCCTCTCACATTTCCTTATTTTTTTGTAAGAGTTCTATTGTTTAGACACATTTTAAGTTCAGGGGAAATTTCAGATTCATTTTATTGAGGAATAGGTTATATAGTATATAATTTTTTTGTCCCGCAGTAAATACTGCCATTGAGGCTAACAGTGACAATTCTCCCCCATCAGACTGGGAAAATATTCCTTAACAAGAGTGTGAATTTTTTGTGTGTTCTTAAAATCTTTAAATCTAAGAAAAGGCCTAAGGGTTGAAAGAGACCAGCTGGGTTTTTTTGATTTTTGGTTTGGGTTTAGGTTTTGTTTTGTTTTTGTTTTCTAGGAAGTTCACACAGTACAGGAGAAGATACCCCAGCTACCGTATCCTTGATAGGAGGGACTCCAGCAGGTCAAAGGCTAAAGGCCTTGTAGGTACAGGTGATGATACAAGATTCTGGCATTCTGTCCTGACAAGATACAAGGTATCCCAACACTAATGAGGACGTCTAGAATAAGTCGGCCATGTTTTCCTTTGGGTTTGAGGTTGGGTTGGCTATGGGGACACTTCCTAACCTGCAGGCATATGGAGTATCTCCTGGGAACAGAGGATAAATATTTACTTATTCTAACAGATGTTCTGTGAATCATTTGTTCACTTCACTTCCAAGAACATCAAACCTTTATTCCCATTCCGTTGCAATTTATGAACATACGCAGGATCTATACGTGAGGTGACAGTGATATGTGAGGGGTAAGTATTTGCATGTTTAAATCATTATTTTCTCCTTCTGCAAATTTCAGTTTTCTTCATGAGTGAACACAGAGTCAGTATCAGGTAAATTGTCTTTTTAATCTTCCTGCTTACAATAGTAAGAAAGCCTCTGATTTCTTTGTTTGTTTATTTTGAGAGAGAGCGAGAGCACATGTGTGCAGGCAGGGGAGGGGCAGAGAGAAAGGGGTAGAGACAGAGAATCCCAAGCAGGTTCCACGCTATCAGTGCAGAGCCCGACGCGGGGCTCAAACCCACACACTGTGAGATCATGACCTGAGCCGAAATCAAGAGTCGGTGGCTTAACCGACTGACCCACCCAGGCATCCCAAAAGCCTGTCATTTCTTAATCTAACATGGACTCATGTGGTAAAGTAAGGTTAACTTTATAGGAACACTAATTTGAAATGCCAGGCTACCTCTCTGAATTATGCATTTTTCATAATTCATTTTATTTTTTAGTATTTGTTTATATCATAGGTGATAAATATGCGTGAGAAATAGTAGAGCTGACTCATTTTGGGCCGGATTCCTGTTTAGTCATGAGGAAAATCCTAAAAGTTTGCAGAGAAAAATAATTGATTTCATTTCTTCTTAACTCATAAAAGTCACATAAAGTAGAAATGAATTGTATTAAAGGTATGAAATAAATTGGAAAACTGGTCTAGATATGACAAAATGGCATATTTTTCACAGTTACATTAACCTTCCTAATTATTTCTGTACTAGTGAGATTTGACCGATAAGGTCAGTGGTTCCCAATCCTGGCTACATATGAGAATTCTCTGGTGAGCTTTTCAAAAAATACCAATGCATGAACCGCCTCCCAGACCAAATTGAAACAGAATCCCTAGTGGTGGGGCTTGGGCATCAGTATTTTTGGAAACATTCCATATGTTTCTAATATGCGACCAGAGTTGAGAATCACTGATTTAGGCCTTCAGGAGAATCTGACTCTAGAAACATGAATCATCACAGGGTCTATGTTCTGGAAGGTGCCACTGCAGACCTTCCACCAGCAGGTAGCAGCAGAGGAAAATGAAAAACCAGGCTGGATGCCAACTCTGGTTAAGAAAGCATTTGCCAATGCACGTTGGGCACCAAAAGGAAACTTTAAAGACTGAAGGACTTCTTAAAAATTATCCTCAAGGTTGTATTACTTGGATTTTTCTGAAACTTATACTTGGGTATGATATTTCGAAAATCCAGCACATGCAACCAAGGCAAGGGATATGAAAGTTTGGGAGATGGGGGAGGGGATGTGGAGGAAAAAAAAAAAAATCACCAAACAAAAACCTTTTCCTTCTCAAGGACTTCCTTGCCTCCAAAATATGTCAAGTTATTGGGAGACATATCTCTAGCCCTATTTATGTCTGTACTTACCTATGTTCTAACCCATCAGGACTTTGGAAAGAACTATGGCATTTACAATTGAAGGTGGAGGAATCTTGATGCCCTGGCAATGTGATCTTGGGCAAGTTCATCTCTCTAAGCCTCAGTTTCCTCATTTGTCAAATGGGGTTTAGATGGAAAAAATAATGGAAATCCCAACCACTTATAAAATTTTCACGTGTACAAGTGTTATTTTATTCAATTAAAATTGGCTTTTGGGTGTATTGGAATTTCAAGGTCATTCTATCAACAATCATTTTTTGAGGGCCTCCGATGTACACAGCTTTATGCTAAGGGCTGTGGTCTAATGCAGATCCTGACTCATTGTCAAGTATGGCTGAGAATACACAACATGTAGCCATTGTTCTAAATGCCTGCACCTACCTTGACTTTTTCTCAGTGTTTCAAGAACTAGCTAAAAAGGAGTTAATAGTTCAATTAAAGTTGCTTAAATGTGACTAAAATAGGACATTCTCTTCTCAGCAACTGGAAAGAACATTGCTGCATTTTAGACTGCTGGCTTTTGGAGAGCAGCCGAGTTTTAAAATGTTTATACCCCCATGTCCTCCTGCCCCAAAAGGCTTAATAAAGATTCTGGTTGGAATTAAATTTATAATATGGTGACTGGACATTTCATTTTTACTGAAATGTAGTCTAATCCCCTTAGAGTATTGTATTTCATCTGTGTAAATATCTACAATTTGCAGATGTCTGTCCCTGTGCCAACAAATTGCGAAAGACTGTTGATGATATTTGGCCTCCCAAGAGCTCACAGATTTGTTTACAAACTATAATCAGTATTATTTTCAAGATTTGCAATCAAAATTGTGAGCCTCAGAAGTCAGCTGCTTGGGCATTTCATAACACAAAGCCCGAGACTGATAAACTTGACTCGTGTTTGCATGCCTGATCTCCCCAACCGCACCATAGTTACTGAGGGGCAGGCTCCAAGACTTCTGTTATATGTCTCATTCATTCAGAGCAGACACTCGAAGATTCTTCATAAGGCATGGAGTACCAGAGCTAAAGGGAGTGTGGAACACCATCGGATCTAACATTCTCATCTCCGGACTGAGATCGAAAGACCCCAGGAAGTCCAACGACCTGCCCAAGGTAACTCAGTTAGTAGCAAGATGAGAATTTGCACCTAGGACTCCGAACTCCCAGATTCATCGGATGGATTCATAAGAAACATCAAAAAGCTCAGAGAAGACTCAATAGTTTGAAAGGCTGCCACTGAGAAGGAATCAGAGGTATGGAGTCACCCTATTCCCCCAGCGTCCTGCTGGTCCCCTATGATGGAGGGACACTAGGTGGCAAGAGTGAGTAGCACACAAAGGCAGAATTGGTGGCATTCAGGGGCATATAAGGATACAGAAAAAAAGCAGGTGGATTGTTCTATCCCAGCCTGCCTCCAGGAACTTTCCTAGCTTGTCCAGACCTGGTTCTTGAAAGAGAACTAACTGGTTTACCAAAGCTCTGAGTCAGGGCTCTCAGGACATCTGCCCATATCAATCTGGATCTGGGAAGCGGGAGAGTGGGAAACAGATTTGTAAATAACAGTGCACCCAACATGCAAGAGGGCGATTGCTGTCCATCATGCATTTCAACGCAAGAGAGGCTCGGCTTTCATTTATATTGTTGGAATTTGGAGTCAGAACAAAACAGTATCAAGGATGCTACAGGATTCACTCTTGGCTTTTAAAATGCAGAGTGGCCACCCTTGTCCCCATCATCCCCGTCATGGCGGGAAAGGCCCAATGGCTAGCAGTGAAGTTTCCTCAGCGTTTCCTTACTCTAATGTAAGTAGGAAGCACACATCTTTTATTGGATTGAAATCCACCCGTGGCTAGGATTTCAAAAGCTGACAAAACACAAGAACAGAGGGATGCCTTCGCGAATAATCCTCGTGTCATAGAGTGATTTCAGGCATTCCAGCGCTTGAAGTTTACAAAGTTAAATGTCAATTTCAGCTATGTTACTTAATCCATGACAAGAAATCGCTGGGGTACAAAAACAGAAAGACAATTAGAATTGCAATGTGTGTCCCCTAGTGAAGACCGGGCGCGTGTGTTGGCACAACGCCCAGCAGAGGAGAGTTAGCAGAATAGCTAATACGGCTCTGCACTTGGGGTCAGAGAAGACTCGGTGTCTCCGGTCTGAGGACTCCATAAATGTTCAATAATGGGTCTCAGGCTAAAAGCTAATTGTGCGTTGGGGCGCCTGGGTGGCTCAGTCGGTTGAGCTTCCGACTTCGGCTCAGGTCATGATCTCGTGGTCCGTGAGTTCGAGCCCCGCGTCAGGCTCTGTGCTGACAGCTCGGAGCCTGGAGCCTGCTTCAGATCCTGTGCCTCCCTCTCTCTCTGCCCCAACCCACTTGCATTCTGTCTCTGTCTCTCTCAAAAATAAACAAACATTAAAAAAAACTTTTTTTTTAAATAAATAAAAGCTAATTGTGTGAAAAGTCACATCTCAGGTAGAGATCTAAAGCGAACATGTAAAATAGCATCGGCCCACGGATTTAGTCCTCAGATAAAATAAACCCAGACCAGGAGAATTGGGAACTCAATCAAACATTAGGAATAGATGGATGATTCTTCTCCGAATAGAAGACTACAACTATTAATGACTTCTCAGGAATGTGTGCTAGAATTAGTCCTAGGTTTTTATACATGATCCAGAATTGGAAACTCTGAGTCTGTGCATCATGCGAAGTTTTTCCAGAAGCTGAATGCCAAGTTAATAAGGACAAGTCACAGAAGAGCTTGCTGAGTTCTGAGAGCCACCAGAAGCGAAATAGACGGTTTCAACATCGGCAGCCATACTTGAAGACTTGGGGGACCCAGCCACCACCGAGACCACAGGAAAGTTGTAACGCGGGCTGAATGTGCTGCCGCTGAAAACAAATGCCCACAAGACGTCGTGTCCTCAGGAAGGGATGTGCAAGCCAGCTCTTCACAAACTTCAAGGCGCTCAGACACTGTCAGGCAGTCTCAATGCCACGTTCCAAGGCGCGCTGCAGAGGGTTCAGAGCTGCATGAGAAGGGCCTGGGGGTGGGGGGCAGGTGGCTGCCCATATCCGGATTCCTACAGATGAAAGTGTGGTAATGACCCACTACAAAGAGCCGGCTGGAAAAAAAAAAAAAAGGACATTGGGAATGTCTGAGGGACATCTCTAATCCTTCGAGAGCTACAGCATTGAAATCACATCCCCTGTCACATTTTTTCTCCCAAAGGTCATTTTTGGGTGCCTGGGTGGCTCAATCCGTTAAGCGTCCGACTTTGGCTCAGGTAGTGATCTCTCGGTTTGTGAGTTCGAGCCCCGCGTTGGGCTCTGTGCTGACAGCTGGGAGCCTGGAGCCTGCTTCGGATTCCACGTCTCTTCCTCTCTGTGCCCCTCCCATGCTCATGCTCTGTCTCTCAATAATAAATAAACATTAAAAAAAAATTTTTTTTTAAAGGTCATTTTTACACTGAATGAATTAGGGTCACACCTACCTGGACATTTTTTACTTAAGTTTCTTTAGGTTTCTGAGCGTCAATTGTATCGGGAGAGTATGGGGGGAGAAATTTTGGAGTTGGGCTTCTGAGAAATTGATGAATAGACTGATTTCCAAAGCAACGAGAAATTCAGAAATGACAAGAGGCGGGAGGAAAGTGATATTTGGAAACCTAGTGGATTTTTCTTTCAAAATACATAAGGTATGAATGATCAGCTATCTTCATAGAGCCTGATGACACAGAAAAAAAATTAAAGTAAATGGATAAAAATCTTACGTAGTGAGGAATGTTACAAATCATAAGCAGATAGCTAACAACTACGTCCTCATTTTGTATCCCTTTTGGTAATGTTTTCTGGACGTCGCTGATTTATCTTCCTTATCTGTGTATTTCCTTCCCAGGGAGAAGTAGAGTGAACAGCAGTAAGGAATCGTCAAGCATCTATCATGCCTCGGGGTCCCATGCTGCTTGCCGGCTACGTGTTTAGTTGTCCCCGAAGTGTGGTCATTGTTTTAAATACATGTTGCCCCTGCTACCCAAAAGTAGAGTGCCCCTGTGAAACCCTTCGTAAGCCAATATTGTAAAGCAAAGAGTCAACTACCATTCATTTATATGGAAAACTTTTAAGCATTCCCAGATAGCCTCTCTTCCGCTTTTCTGATACCTTAGGACACATCTTGCTAACGGATGCACCGAATAAATGGAGGTGGAGCTCACAGACACAGACACAGACACAGACACAGACACAGTTTGGAGCTCTGGAGGTTTCACACTGAGATGCTGAGAGTGGTTCCCGGGGAAGGTGGCTGGCGGGGCCTCATTCGCTGCTCAGGCGTGTCTGCCTCTGTAAGGGCTTGCCTCTGTAACAGCTTGAGTGCTATTTTCTCTTTTCATCTTTTTCCCTAAAAGCAAAAATCCTTTCCGGATTTCTTTTGGTTAATGAAAGCACGTACTCATGTGGGTCTTTCGAAAAAGCAAAGTGGTGGAATGAGAATTTTCAACAAGTGGGGAATACCTGCATTTATTTCGTTTCAAAATAATACAAAGTCTAATCAATTCGCTGCCCAACCAAAAAAAAAAAAAAATCAGGATAACAACAAAATATGGACTATTATATTTTCCTCGTATTCTGCCTTTGTTTATTGCAAATTTGGGGAAACAAATCCACATCTTTGAACATGTGGAACCCTCTGATAGCATTCCATCCCTCTGGATAGCATCCCAGAGCCCTCTGATAGCATTCCATCGCCCACAGCATGAACTCCTGTTTCTTTGTGACTGTCACCCAGGCCCCTTGTGCTGGTCACTGTCTTGAGCTCTCCACACTCCGATAGCTGATTTACAGTTAGCACCCAAAAGCTTGTAAGTTCTTTCTTCCGTGAGATGTTTGCACATGCTGTTCCCTCTTCCTAGCCAGCCTTTTCTTTCTCTGCCTTTGCCGGCTGTGTTTTTCTCATCATTAACCTCTTTAGAGAAAAGCAAAAAAAAAAAAAAAAAAAAAAAAAAGTAGGGTCAATAGATAAGCAGTATTGTCAAAATCTGTCAGGATTGAGTAAAACCGGAGAACTAACTTATCAACATAAACCATTATAAATAAAAAACAGAACTGTTCTCTACTCATCGCTTCACAAAGCGTTCCCTTAATGCACTCAAGGTGAATTACTGACTGCCAAAAAACTTCATTCTGGATCCAAAAGTAAACTATCATGGACTGCTATCTTCTCAGAATGTTCGATTCTTCAATATCATTGTTTATTTAATGATCCTCTTTTTGATAGACTTCGTTTGGTTTCAGTTTAAATGCATCCAAGAATCCTCATTCAACTCCTCTCCATGAAAAATGGAGTTTAACAAATAGGTCATCATGGGACATAACATGGAAAGCGTATGGGGCTTTTCGTTGTTGTTGTTTATGTGTTCGTTGCCTTGAGTATTCTCAGATACCCGGTCTTCAGATGTATTCCTTGTTTTGTTTTTCACCACACCGTCAGCAACCTGGACCTCTCTGTCTGATCCTTACTTCCCTCCCCTTTGTGGGTCACTCACGACGGTCTCCTGGAAGCTTCTGTACGTTGAGCCCACCAGAGAAAACCTGGTGGCGTGGGTTTGTATGATGGGGGTAGGCCAGTCACCTGGTTAAGGCACGAGATCCTGATGTTTTTTCTGCCTTAGATTCGTGTTAAGCATCAACTGGCCATACAGACTGAAAAACAGTGGGTCCTGAGCCGTGTGCCCTCCCAGAGGCAGTGAAGGGTGCTTCCATGTGGAGAGAAGGCAGCTTTTGCTAGAAATTCACTGCAGTGCAGGCTGTGAAGGGACCCTTAACAAAGCCACTTCTTTACTGGACCTTTGTTTGCAGGAGCATCCTCTTTCTCCGGATACATACTTCCAGGCATAAGCTCCCAGCACGTGAGTTTCCAAGTTCTTCCGGTTTTAAGTGACCTACCATGCTGGTGTCTTTTAGGCTGATACTGTGTCATAGCGATGCGGCCACTGTTTTCTCGTTCAGTATTTGTACACGTATATTTCTTTAACGTTTCCGGATGCCGTAGAGCTAAGCAACGCCCACATATCTTGGCTGATGGTTCAAATGCTAAAAAAACGTTAAATTCTATCTTTTACAGAGAGAAAAACAGAGCTCTGAGTCCTATGGATTGGAGCAGTGGTTCACAAATTTTTATCGGCATTAAGAAGCGTCTGGGGCCCTTCCTCCTTAAATTGAAAAGCCAAAACCTAGGCCGACTGCAAATTCCCAGAATCTGCCCCTGAAGATACTGATTTAGGTTCAGGAATTCGTCCTGTTTGTTGTTGTTGTTGTTGCTGTTGTTGATTGTTTGTTTGTTTTAAACTAGGGCCCCGGGTGATTCTGAGAAAGGCCCATGGACCATGCTCTGAGAAACCCTGGAATGAGGGAGAGCTGGTTGGGCTCTTCCCACCCACTTACGAAGCTGCCATCTGGAGTAATTTCTGTCTAAGTGCAGAGAGAAATCCATGAGGAGTTAAAAAGCCCTTTTGTGAGTGAACTAAGCATTACACAGTGGAAGTTTCTGGATGCCTCTGGAAGACATAAAGGCAAATGTTTTGTTTCAAAAACTGGTCTCATTTCATCATCTGGTTACCTTCTCCTTTCTCTCCTTTTTTCCCTTCCTGTTCTCCCCACTTCCTCCTTCTCTTCCCCCCTTTCCTCCTCCTGCCCCCTCCTTTCTCCTCTTCCTCTTCCCTTTCCTCATCTCTCCCCCTCCTCCTCCTCCTCCTCTTTTTTTGGTTAATTTAGGGACTATATTCCTTTCTCCTCTCACCCAACCTCTTTTTCCGGAAGCTGTTGCACACTCTGTCAGGTGACTATTTTGGGAAGACACAATAGGTCAGTCTCAACTCCTGGCGGACCGTGGAGGGGAGATTCAGAACTTCCAAAAAGCCCAGAGGCCAGCATCTCGGCATTGGCTGGGAATAAGCCCCCTTTCTTATGTTTAAGATAGTTATGATAGGTGTGATGCAAAGTGGTGGAGAAATGCAGTAAAGGGCACACCCCCCACCTGCAACTCCACATGAACACCCCCCCCCCACCACCACCACCATTACCAGGCACAAGCACACCTACCACAGTCCACAGTCACCTGTCCCACCACATTCAAAACCGTCACACACAGGTGCTAAGACACTGCCTCCATGGAAACTTCCAGGACCTGATAATCAAGATTAGTCACCAGGGTAACACAGCCTAGGAATGGAGCAGAGCTTTTGAAGTAGTTGGGGAATGTGAGGGTGGCAAGACAATTTAAGAGGTTGCTAACACAGACAAAGCTATTTACAAGCAAGGGCTTTCATTCTTTTATCGGTGAAGCAAACCAGCTGCCCTTTGGTCTTGACATTGTAATCTCACCAGTAAAAATGGCAGTTGGTTAACAACATCCTCTTTCACCGAGCCAGGAAATGATGAAAAAGTGTTTCCATGGACCCCTGTAGGGATAAACAGAGGGAAATGCTTATTATCTTTTGAACATTTAGCTGTTTGGGAAGAAAGGAGTGGCAAGAATGAGTGAACATTAACAATGGGGCTCGACTCCTTGGCAGTGTTTGTAGCCATGCTTTTTGTGGTTGAAAGCTGCTTCCAGAGAATAATCGGGAGAGGGAGAAAGAGAGAGGGAGAGAGAGAGAGAGAGAAAAAAAAAAAGCTACTCTTCTTTGCAAAAGCAGAATATCTCTGTCTCCTCCACTGAGGGCCATTGCCCAGTCTTGCCTCTCCTGATAAGGAATAGACCCATCTTCCACCTGGAAACCTGGCTATCTTAAGCCTGTAGAGGGAGTCCTGGATGCATAGAAAGGAATGGGGTCTGAAAGTTCTCTCCTTTGGGTAGAAACAAGTAGTTCTTACTCGAGGCCACTCAACTTGTGTATGTTTCAATCTCCAATTCTCCCCACTGCTACCTCAAAACCTCCAACACATCTTGCCCTTTGATGCCTCTTGGACCATCACTTTCTTCTATGTGCAGGGGAGGAGCAGGTACTGCAACACACTATCTGCCCATGGAATCGCCAAAGCTGTTCCATAGTTCTGCCAAAGCCTATTAAGGCAATGCGTCGCTCAGTTAAATCTGGAAACTGCAGTTCTGAACCATGAGTCATTATTTGGCAATGGATGTAATATATAGGTCTTACCCATGATCTGTATCGACACCTTGTTTATTGCAATGAATAATCGTCGTCTGTTCTGCTCCTGTGTGTTCACTATTAAAGAATTAACGTACTCTGCTCTCTCTTTCCATCCTTTACTGACAGGCTGTTTTGTTGCTATGGGCACCTGCCTCTATTTCGGAGTTAATACCATTATAAGGGACTGATTTCCCATCGCTTCGCCTCCATGGTCCCATACCCAGGCTGGGGAAGTTCTGCTGTTCACATATAAGAAAAAAAATAGATAAATATTACATAATAAATGCACAAAATAAATTGGCCCAAAACATTTTCTCACCTGATATATGTTACCATTACAGAACAGATCCATTGTAATAATTGGCTTGACAAATATCATCGCGTCCAAGCTCTAGAAAAGCATGAAACACTCTGGAGAAAAACAAATAGAAAAAAAAAAGCAACTGAGCTAAAAGACTCACAGAATTATAGAGGCATGATCTAGAGATCAACCAGCTCTCTCACTGTCGTGGAGGAAACTGAGACCAGGTTTCATTAATTCAAAGAAATGAATTAATGCGCTTCAAGTCACAAAATTAGTGGCAGAACCAGGTCTGAATTATAGTTTCTGGACACTAAGCCAAAACTTTTCATCACTATTCCCGCTATGTGAGCAATATTTCTTCTCAAAGAGCCCTACATTAATTGTAGGTTGTATGATGGTGATTTCTGCAGAGCTAACCCCTGGCTCCTCAGATCAGCATGAAGAGTGTTAGTGTTCCCAGCTCACATGGGTAATTTTGTTAGGTGCTTAACTGGAACTGGAAAAATTCCCCTCTTCCTGGGGTTCGTGGCCATTCCAATCAAAAGATTTTTCATCATTGAGGAACCATGGTGGAGTGTGGGTTCTTCATCCACTCATGTTCATTGCTAAGAGGTGCCGAAGACTTGCCATTTATTACTTTAGCTGCTCTTATCTGGGCTGCTCTAACAGAGACCACCACGCCCCTGTGGAATGCCGCTGTGGCTTTATTTCCAGAATTTTCAAGTGTGAAGACTAATCTCAGCTCATCCTGTTCCTCAGACCTCCTGTCAGTGACTGCCTGAGGTTTCTCATTTATTCACAGATGTATTGCACAAGTTACTGGGGCCTGTATTTGCTATTGGTATTTATAGCACATATGTGGTACCCACCACCCAGAAGGTGCTCGGTGAAGTGTTGTTTGAATGAACGTTTTGATGATAAAACAGGTGGCATACAATTAGAAGCATTTTGTTGGAACACAGTACATTCTACCACAAAACTATCTTGCCCTTAATATTCCTATGTCATTTTCCAAATCACTTATTGCTTCTAAGAGTTATTACAAAGAGAAAAGCATGAAAGGCAAGATGGGACAGATGACAGACTTCATGTGTTCAAGGAGAAGGAAGAAACAGGACAGGGTATTTATAAAGGAAAAGTAATAATATTATGGAGCTGTGTTAGAGAAAGGATGGCTTGAGAGAGGAAAGAAGGGGGAAAGAGCTGAGAATATCCTTAGCCAAGAAAATTCGGGAAAATACACAATGCAAATGTCAATCAATAATCAAGAATATGAATGGCAGCTGGGGCACCTGGGTGGCTCAGTCGGTTAAGGTCTGACTTCCGCTCAGGTCGTGATCTCACGGTTTGAGTTCCAGCCCCACATAGGGCTCACAGCTGTCAGTACAGAGTCTGCTTTAGATTCTGTGTCTCCCTCTCTCTCTGCCCCTCCCCTGCTCACATTCTCTCTCTCTCTCTCTCTTTCTCTCTCAAAAATAAACATTAAAACAAAATTGAAAAAAGAACATGAATAGCAGCATAATTTTTATTTTTGTATGTTTTTAAAAATTGTTTAA